TGATTCCAGGAAGCCTGGGGCAGAGCAACTCTGCCTCGGGCTTCCTGTAGTCAGCCGCTGGTCAGTTTCAGCAGCAGCTGAATCTGGATGCCAGTTCCGACTTACATACAGATTCAACTTAAGAACAAACCTATAGTTCCTATCTTGTACGTAACCCGGGGACTGCCTGTAGTCAACAAAATTATTAACTAACAACTTGGTACTGTGAAACTTTAAACAGGTATGTTTCTTTACTATAGTGAATAAAATTACACACATTCTTAGCATTCGCAGGACTTGGAGCCTTAATTCCAATTACAAATCAAAATTTTACATTTGGTTAAATGCATGTGATTCCATAGTAGACAATTTGGCTTGGCATGTTGCTACTGATGATGAATAAGGTGAAAGGAATCCAGGTTGACTCTCCAGTCCCAGGCTCAGTTTGCAGGGTTGGCAGCTAGTAAAACCATTTTTTTACTTGTACACTGAGCACCTCTGATCAGTAAGCCCCTGAGGGATCATGAACATGGAATCCCCCAGTCCACATTCAGAGTCACTCCCGCCTTGGAAATCTAATCTTGTGCTTAAGAATCCATTGCCACTATAATCTGTGGGAAGATGCATAGTTTGATCCATCATAGTGCAGGAAGAATGCCATCTATTCAGATGGAAACAGCTTGAGCCCCCGTCTTTAAATTGCTAAGTGCTTGGTGCAAAGGACCGCATTCAAGAGAGCATTTGCAATCCACAATAACAATGGGTTTTGGCCCTATAAAACCCAGGACGAAAACTGTGTATTCTGGAGTACCATCTATTAGCACATTATCTATTAACTAATTATTGACTGGAGCTAGTCAGAAATTTTTCAATGAATTTGTTTTGGTCAAAAAATTGCCAGTTCATCAAAACCCAAGACTCACAAACTGGGATCAGATCAAGGAATTTCCTGACTCAGAAAACCCAACAGGTTTTCAATTGTTAAAACATTTCATGCTGACATTTTCAAATGCACTAATTCCAGTTTTCCGTTCAAAAGGACTTTTTGCATTGAAATTTAAGCACGTAAGAAAAAAAATTCTGAAAAGATTGAAATCAAAATGAAGTGTGTTGAAATTATCAAACTGAAACAATTTGATAAATGTGAAATGGGTGAAAAAAAGATTTTCTGGAATACAGAAATATCAAATTTTGACTTTTGTCCTGACTTGAAAGGGACAAAAATAGTCAATTCTTTTGTAAAACTGGAAGACTACTGTTTACTATTTATATGTACATGGACATCTCTTTTTATAGAAAACTCTTCTAACAATAAATGTGTTAAACATTAGTCTTTCAAATTCCTGTTTGGCCTGTGAGATGTGCAAAAAACCAAAGCCACATGAGCACAAAACCCACCTCTCAGCCTCAATTTCACATCTATCAAGTGGCAATAATCACACCCATCTCTGTAAAGTCTGTATTTAATAGAATGCAGGGTAGCTCGCCCCCACTCCTGAGCCCAGTGAACTTTTCAAGAAGGTTATAAATGTTTTTAATTGATTTGGATTGGCAGCCTTGGTTTATGCAAATTGATTTTTTTCAAAGCAGGTATGTTTTGAAAAAGATTAAGCATTTATGTTATTGGGACAGAAGATTAAGAATGCAATATCTCAGCAGAGAGAGGCATTGCAGCCTATGGGGTGAAGTCTTGAATCTGTCTGCAAGCAAAGTGATATGCATGCAAGCTCAGGGGTAGCATCCTAGCTCCATGGGAAAGAGGACTGGGTCTCAGTCATTCTTGATAGCAACATTTTGGATTACACTGGGACTGATCCTCAGAGGTACTGAGTAATTGCAGCTCCAGCTGAGTCCATTTTTGGTCCCAGTTGCTTCCCTCATATCAGTTTTCGCAGAAGGCTTTGATGCCCTTCTCACTAACATGTGCCTTGGGTTGCCTGTGGCATATATGAACTTTTCCCCAAAGGTTCTAAAGCATGTTCCCTGCCATGGATTATATCATTCTACCTTGTTGTCCTGCAATTGCCACTTCTGTAGCACAGTGGGAGGTAGTAAGAATAATGACTCAAGTAGCAGCTATGATGTGCCTAATGTCTGTGGTCATCTGCATGCCTAAAAGATCAGCCGTCTATTTCCACAAACTTCTATTAGGGTGTGTTACCTGAAAAAGACAGGGATTAATCTCAGGCCATAAAATGCCAGGTTGCAGTGCATGCATTAGGAGTAAGAGAGACTTTAACTTATACTAACAGTCACTTTATTCATCTGCATGATCTATCCCATGGTAGACAGGAAAATGTCTGGAAACCGTCCAGCAGATGTATACTTTCATCTAAGGGTCTGCAGATGCTTTTCCCATCACCAGAGATTGGATCATGCAGATTACAGGGTTAAGATTTATTTTAGAGTTGAAGGCTAGAAAGGACCATTAGATCACCTAGTCTGAGCTCTTGTATATCACAGGCCAATTAAATTTCACCCAGCTATCCTCATATTGAGCCTGATAACTTGTGTTTGGCTAAAGTATAGGTCTTGATTTGAAAATATCAAGTGATGAAGAATCAACCACTTCTTTTGGTACTTCATCCAGGTGATTCATCACCCCACATGTGGCTAAGTTCTAATTTGAATTTATCTGGCTTTAGCTTCCAGACATTGGTTCTTTTTATGCCTTTTTCCACTAGAATAAAGAGCCCTGTATTACCCAGGATTTTCTTTCTGTGAAGTTTTAGGGTCAGTGAAAGCCACATTTGCATGAAACGTGCACATGCCAGTGCTTTATGGGATTGTACCTCAATTTGATTTATAGACATAAATATGCCATGAACGTTTGGCTTCTGCTGTTCTGTTAATGTTGCTGAGCCCTCCGCTTGCACTCTGTCCCCAGTTGCGTAAGAAGCAGGCCTATGTTGAGAAAGTGGAGAAGCTGCAGCAGGCTCTGACCCAGCTCCAGGCAGCATGTGAGAAACGGGAGCAGATGGAGCGGCGATTGCGCACGCGGCTGGAGAGGGAGCTGGATTCTCTGAGGATGCAGCAGGTGAGTGGCGGATTGGTTATGGGCCACAAGCATATCCAGCCCCAGGCTTGGGTAAACAAGGATGGAGTTCTTGATGTTACATACCCCTGGCATTTCCTCCTCAGCATCTTGCCAGTAAGAACAGGAAGAACGATGCTCTCTCACCTTTCTCCACCAAGATGGTAACTGAAACAAGAGGGGTGTTTTATTTGCCAAGCCAAAACTATTTCCTTCCCCCTTTTCAGTGAGTGGGAGAGTGCAGTTTTGTGAGGCTGAGTTAGGAGAGGCTTCCATACCATTCATTGTTTTTCTTCATCTTTGACACAACCTTATGTGCCACTAAATGCAGCAGCTCTCTTATACTTTATAAAACACGTCAATATAGTCTTATCTCTGAAGGTCTCAGAGAATTTTACAATCCTTAATTCTCACACGTTTCCTTATGGATTAAATGCCTAAAATTATCCCTATTTTAGGTAGAGAGAGGTTAAGTAATTTGCCTAAGGTCCTGCGTTCACTGTTCCATACAGAGTTTCTGCAGGAGCTGAAAATGAGAGTTGTTGCTTAGGTTCAAACCAGGAACTTTCTCCATGCTAAATAAACACACACCTCTGCGCTAAAAAACCATCTCCAAAGCACATATGGGAGAGCCAGAAATAGAGCCAAGGTCTTTTAACTCTCCATGCTCTGAATTAGCTTCCCTGCTTTTGATGAACAGTTTTCTATTCTGTCAGATTCTTTCATGCACTGGGTCCATTTTGCTTATCTCACAACTCTGAAATTCAAAAGATGATGCCAAATGAGATAATGTGTAAACAAACTGATCAGTGTTGCCCATTACATAAAATCCACACGCAGTGATTGAGTTCTATATCTGTTGATTCCTGAAGTGCAATTAATGCGCTCAGTGCTAGAGGTAGTGTAGCTGGTGTTAAGAATGTGGTATTAACCCATCTATCTAGGGGAAACCAACAGTGAAACTGGTGCTTTAAAAGCTGTAGTAGGTACTGGGGACAGATCCTCAGTTGCTGAAAATTGACATAGATCTATGGTCTATAAGTGTGGCCAAATGCCATTTAATTGAGCATGCTGTATTGCTTTGCTTCTGGATTATATTTAACTATTTTCCAATTGTCCATGTTACCTACAAATATTGGACACTCTCGCCGTGCATGAGAGCACTGTGACAGTGTCAGCAAAAGAGGTATTTCAGTGCTACCCTTGGATGCATGATACCTTTGCATTCCAGGATGAGCAATAGGAAACCTAGTTCTGTCAGCATGGGTCACAGCATCCCAGAGCCAGGCCTCTGGGACAGAAATGTTTTACAGTGTGGGCAGGTCACTACGTCAACTCCAGAGCATAGTGCGCATCTCAAAAGCCTGTCCTTCCCGCACATACACAATGTAATAACAAAACACAACCTTTGCTTGTGGATAGAAATTCCATGCTCCAATAATAAGAAATTAGCAGTAGGGATATATTACCGACCATCTGACCAGGACAGCGATACTGACATAGAAATGCTGAGGGAGATTAGAGAGGCTACCAAAATAAAGAACTCTATAATAATGGGGGATTTTAATTACCCCCATATTGACTGGATACATGTCACCTCAGGAAGAGAAGCGGAGATAAAATTTCTCAATGGCTTAAATGACTGCTTCTTGGAGCAGCTAGTGCAGGAACCCACAAGGGGAGAGGCAATTCTCGATTTAGTCCTGAGTGGAGTGCAGGATCAGGTCCAGGATATAACCGTTACAGGACCGCTTGGGAATAGTGACCATAATATAATAACATTCAACATTCCTGTGGTGGGAAGAACACCACAGCAGTCCAGCACCCTGGCATTTAATTTCAAAAAGGGGAATTACACAAAAATGAGGAGGTTAGTTAAACAGAAATTAAAAGGCACAGTGACTAGAGCCAAATCCCTGAAAGCTGCATGGAAACTTTTTAAAGACACCATAATAGAGGCCCAACTTAAATGTATACCCCAAATTAAAAAACATAGCAAGAGACCTAAAAAAGAGTCACCGTGGCTTAACCACCATGTAAAAGAAGCAGTGAGGGACAAAAAGGTATCTTTTAAGAAGTGGAAGTCCAATCCTAGTGAGATAAATAGAAAGGAACAGAAACACTGTCAAATCAAGTGTAAACATGTAATAAGAAAAGCAAAAAAAGATTTTGAGGAACAGCTAGCCAAAAACTCAAAAAGAAATAAAATGTTTTTTAGATAAATAGAAAAGAACATAAACACTGTCAAATCAAGTGTAAACATGTAATAAGAAAAGCAAAAAAAGATTTTGAGGAACAGCTAGCCAAAAACTCAAAAAGAAATAACAAAATGTTTTTTAAGTACATTAGAAGCAGGAAGCCTGCTAAAAAGCCTGTGGGTCCCCTAGATGATCGAGCTATAAAAGGAGCAATCAAGGACGATAAAGGCATTGCGGAGAAACTAAATGATTTCTTTGCTTCAGTTTTCACGGCTGAGGATGTTGGGGAGATTCCTGAATCTGCACCGTCCTTTGTGGGTGATGAATCTGAGGAACTGTCCCGGATTGAAGTGTCATTAGAGGAGGTTTTGGAACAAATAGAAAAACTTAATGTTAACAAATCTCTGGGACCGGATGGCATTCATCCAAGGGTTCTAAAAGAACTTAAATGGGAAATTGCTGAGCTATTATCTGTGGTTTGTAACCTATCCTTTAAATCAGCTTCTGTACCTAATGACTGGAAGGTAGCCAACGTGACACCAATATTTAAAAGGGGCTCTAGAGGCGATCCTGGCAATTACAGACCGGTAAGTCTAACTTCAGTACCGGGCAAATTAGTCGAAACAATAGTAAAGAATAAAATTGTGAAGCATGTAGAAGAACATAATTTGTTGGACAAAAGTCAACATGGTTTCTGTAAAGGGAAATCCTGTCTTACTAATCTATTAGAGTTCTTTGAAGGGGTTAACAAACATGCGGACAAGGGGGATCCAGTAGATATAGTATACTTGGATTTTCAGAAAGCCTTTGACAAGGTCCCTCACCAAAGGCTCTTGTGTAAATTACATGGCCATGGGATAAGAGGGAAGGTCCTTTCTTGGATTGAGAACTGGTTAAAAGACAGGAAACAAAGGGTAGGAATAAATGGTAAATTTTCAGATTGGAGAGGGGTAACTAGTGGTGTACCCCAAGGGTCAGTCCTGGGACCAATCCTTTTCAACTTATTCATAAATGATCTGGAGAAAGGGGTAAGCAGTGAGGTAGTAAAGTTTGCAGATGATACCAAACTGTTTAGGATAGTCAAGACAGAAGCAGACTGTGAGGGACTCCAAGAAGATCTCACCAAACTGAGTGATTGGGCAACAAAATGGCAAATGAAATTTAATGTGGATAAGTGTAAAGTAATGCACATCGGGAAAAATAACCCCAACTATACGTACAGTATGATGGGGGCTAATTTGGCTACGACAAATCAGGAAAGAGATCTTGGAGTTATCGTGGACAGTTCTCTGACAACTTCCACGCAGTGTGCAGCGGTGGTCAAAAAGGCAAATAGGATGCTAGGAATTATTAGGAAAGGGATAGAAAATAAGACCCAGAATATCTTACTGCCCCTGTATAAAACTATGGTACGCCCACATCTTGAATACTGTGTACAGATGTGGTCTCCTCACCTCAAAAAAGATATTTTGGCCTTGGAAAGGGTTCAGAAAAGGGCAACTAAAATGATTAGGGGTTTGGAACGGGTCCCATATGAGGAGAGGTTAAAGCGACTGGGACTTTTCAGTTTAGAAAAGAGGAGACTGAGGGGGGATATGATAGAGGTCTATAAAATCATGAGTGGTGTGGAGAGGGCTGATAAAGAAAAGTTATTTATTAGTTCCCATAATAGAAGAACTAGAGGACACCAAATGAAATTAATGGGTAGCAGGTTTAAAACTAATAAAAGGAAGTTCTTCTTCACACAGCGTGTTGTCAACCTGTGGAACTCCTTGCCAGAGGAGGCTGTGAAGGCTAGGACTATAATAGAGTTTAAAGAGAAGCTGGATAAATTCATGGAGGTTAGGTCCATAAAAGGCTATTAGCCAGGGGATAAAATGGTGTCCTTGGCCTCTGTTTGTCAGAGGCTGGAGAGGGATGGCAGGAGATAAATCGCTTGATCATTGTCTTCGGTCCACCCTCTCTGGGGCACCTGGTGCTGGCCACTGTCGGTAGACAGGATACTGGGCTAGATGGACCTTTGGTCTGACCCAGTACGGCCGTTCTTATGTTCTTATGTTCTTATGCTTGCCTTGCACCTAAGTATGTTAAATTGTGGTTGTCTGGCTAATCGTGTAGTCGGTACAATTTGTCGGCTACACGATTAGTTGGTAAGAACAGCTCTGCAAAGCCGCAGCGGGGCTTGTGCCAGTTGCAAGAGCTCCCGACGCTGCGGCCCTGCATTTTAAATGTAGTGAGAGCAGTTGGACTCTTACTACATTTAAAACGCAGAGGCGCAGCATCCCGGACCAGCATGAGCCAGGACTGCTCAGTCTCGGCTCGCACTGAGTCCAGCAGCCCCTATTCGTGGCGGGAGGGCCTATCCGCCCCAAAAAAGGGCGGGGGGC